GCGCTCCCTCAAGCAGCTCGGCTACGCGCTGACCTCGCTCGACCTCCTGTGCACCGAGCATGGAGATGCAACCTCGAGAACCAGGAAGGTGCTGGTCGCCTGCCGTGGCCCCTTCGCGCGCTGCCTGGCGAGCATTAAGTTGCCGCCGGCGCGTCACGTGGCTCACGGAGTCAAGCATTTCCTGGAGCCGAACCCGGACGGGAACTGGCTGGACAGCCAGGGGGAGACCCTCCTCGACCCCAAGATCCGCACCACGGGCAGTCCGCTGCTGCCGAAGCCCGCTGGGCACATCACCATCGAGGGGGTGAAGCGCCTGCTGCACAGCCCAGACGGCCCTGCCGGCACCCCCCGGCGGCCGGGGCCCGGTGCCACGCTGCTGTGCATCCCCGGCAGCGCGCACGGGAGAGCGAGGGCGCTCACGCAGCGGGAGATTTGGCGCATCCAGGGCGGCAGCGACGCCATCTGGGACGAGCACTTGGCCGAGGGGATCGCCAGCGAGGAGCTGCTCCGCGCGGCGGCGCGGGCCCTGCCGCCGGAGTCTGCTCAGACGGTGCTCAGGGCGGTCGCGCTGGCCCTGGACGTGGACACCGAGAAGGTCGGGGTGTGCCATGACCCAGAGGAGCAGGCAGCCTGGGAGGCCACGCAGATGGTTCCGAGCCAGGGCCATCGCCCCGGACAGTCCAGCGGCAGAGGCCCTGCGCCTGGACAGGGAGGCAGCCGGAGGCGCGCTCTCCGCGGAGATCCACAAGAAGCGCCACAGGAGCCAGAGGATCCGGTTCAAGCAGATCAACGAAGACACGATCTCCGGCCCAGCCATCCCGCCATCCGCCGACGAGGTCCGGTTGGATGCGGGCCTGGCCAGCCCTCGCACCCCCCGGAGCGCGCGCTCGCGGTTAGCCCGCAGAGGGCGGACCGCAGCGGCGCCGGACTTGGTCCAGCCGCTGGCTCTGGGGCGGGCGCGCGAGAGCCTGCCGGCGCCACCTGCCCGCCCCATGGTTGGGGGGGGCGCTACGGCGAGTGGCTCCGCGACCAGCGGACGGAGGTGATGCTGCAGAAGCTCAGCGAGGGCACCCGCAGCGGGCACGAGGGCGGCTGGCGGCAGTGGGCCGCGCACCGCGCTGGCCAGGGGCTGGGCCACTGGCTCCAGGGCCGGGGCCGCGCCGAGCGGACCAGCGACGATGACGCCTTGACCGACTTTGTGGTCATCTTGGCGGTGGCGCTGTCGCGGGCCGAGGGGGCGGTGAAGCAGAAGCTGTTCGCCAGCAGGTGCGCCCACCTGATGGTCGGGCACGGCGGCCCGCTGCTTCACCAGGGGCGGCTCCGGACGACCCTGGCCGGCATGAAAAGGCTCCAGGGGCCCAACAGCAGGCGGAAGAGGCCGGTCCCCCCGCGGACGCTGCCGTGGCTCAAGCAGCACATCCACGCAGATGCGGGGTTGTGCCAGGCCGACGCTGCCACGCTGTGCGCCGCGATCCTTCTCGCCTTCTTTTCCCTCCTGCAGGCGTCGGAGTACCTGGTGACGGACAGGTCCTGGTCCGTCGACAGGGTGGCCCACGGCGAGGACATCGAGCGGGAGCGCACCGGCCAGTTCGCCCGAATTGACGAGTGCGTCCTGCACATCAAGGGCTCGAAGACGGACCAGTATAATGTGGGGACGGTGCGCAACCAGCACGCCACCCACTCAGCGCTGTGCCCCGTCGAGGCCCTGGCGGCCATGCAGGCGCAGCGCCCGCAGCGCTTCGACCACGGCACGGAGGCGCGGCTGCCCCTCTTCCGGTGGGCCTCGGGCGCCCCCGTGAAGCGCGAGGAGGTGCAGCACTTCCCCACGTTGGCGGGCCTGGCGGCAGGCCTCAGGCGAGAGGAGATCGGCCCCCATTCCCTGAGGATCGGCGGGGCCACGGCGATGTACCACGTCACGGACGACCTCTCCAAGGTCCAGATGTACGGGAGACGGGCGTCGGACTCGTTCCACGCCTACCTCTGGGAGTCGCGCGAGCCGCAGCGCGACGTAGCCAGGCGCGTGGCCAACGACCACTCGGAGCTGACGACGCCGGCAGCGAGGCCTCAGGAGGGAGCCGCCGGCGACGGCGCCAGGCGAGCCCCCCCCCCAGGGGCTTGTCGGCTCTCGGAGCCGCAGCGGCGGCAGCGGCCACGCTGGGGCAGGCGACGGCGACCGGCCAGGAGCTGGCGGCGGCGGAGGAGGACAAGAGGCACGTCAGCGCGCGTCTGACGGCGGACGGGGAGGACGTCGCCATCGCGATCCCCTTGGAGGTCATGGTGGAGCTCATCGTCTCGCTGGCGGTGGTGCTGGCCACGGCGTTGGCGGAGGCCCGGCACTGCTGGTGCAGTTCGAGGCAGGACCGCCGGCCCCAGGGCTCGCGCGGGACGCCGAGGGAGGTGATGGAGGACAACCGGAGGACGCCCAAGAAGCCCAAGGCGATCTACTGCGACGCGGGGGCCCAGGGGCCCGCGCACTACAACGGCACCCGCTACCTCAGAAGAATCAGGGCTTCAGCGCGGGGACGAGGTCGCGCGAGAAGCGGCCGCCAAGCCTCATCGCGGCTGACCAGTGGCGCCGCCGGCCAAAGGCCCGGCGAGCGAGTGAGGTGGAGAGGTGCCTCCGCCGCCGGCCTCGGCCTGGCGCGCGGAGCCGCGCCGGCGCATGGCGCCAGGCGTGGCATTTCAGGCGCCCGCGGGCAGCGGTGCGCTTGCGGGCTGCGGGGCGCCGGGGCGGCGGTGGCCGGGCGCCCGTGGGCAGCTGGAGCCGCGCTGGGGCCCGTGAGCGGCCAGGCCCGCGGGTTTTCCCGCGGCCGGCCTGGCGCTGAATTCGCAACTGCAGCGCCGTCGCGACGGGGGCGGCGGCGCAGGTTTAAGCAGCCGGCGGCACGCGCAGTGCACGCCGCCTGGCCGCACCCCGCGCTGGCGCCGCGTAGGCGCCGGCGCGCGAAGAACCCCGGGAGCGCTGGCAGCCGCAGGCTGCCCGCGCCCTCGGACCGCAGCGGGGGATGCGCCGACAGCGACCGCTGCCAGGCGCGCCCAGGAGCGGCGGCAGAGCCCGCTAGCGCGTGGCGGAGGGTGGAGCGTGCGGCTGCGCACGCGCATCGGCCAAATCCTCATCTCCCCCATCTGAGTCATCATCCTTTTCGGTAGTGCGTTGCTGCTGTAAGGGATAGCTTAGTTGTTTGGTCAATCGCTAGGCTCTCCCTTGCCCCAGGTCATCGCCCGACATTCGCGCGGGCGGCAGCAGACTAGCGCGCGGCGGAAGGTGGAGCGTGCGGCTGCGCACACGCATCGGCCAAATCTTCATCTTCCCCATCTGAGTCATCATCCTTTTCGGTAGTGCTTTGCTGCTGTAAGGGATAGCCACAAATTCTGCTCACCAGCCTCACTGTGTTGAGTTGGGCCCTCATTTTGAATCAGCGGCGCCAGGCGGTTTCCTTTCTTCCCTTCTTGCTTCTCGACCTTTTCCTCCCACCCCTTGCCTCTGCCCTCCGCATGTCTCTGTTTTGGCACACACCCCACACGCTTCGTGGCCCCATGTGGAACTCCACCTAAGGCCCCAGTGGCTGCGTTCGCATGCCGCCGCCACCCCATTGTGGCGCACACCTCACACCGTTCGTGGCCCCATGAGGAGCTCTACCGAAGGCCCCAGTCGTTGCGCCCGCATGCCGCCGCCGCCCAACTTTGGCACACACCTCACATGTTTGGTGGCCCCATAACGGGTTCCACCAAAAGGCCCCAGTGGTTTCGTTCGCATGCTTCTCCCGACCATGTCGGCACACCCGTCACACGTTTCGTGGCCCCATAGGGAGCTCCACGAAGGCAGCAGTGGCAGGAATCGCATGCGTGACCGTGCCCATGTCGGCACACCCGTCGCACGTGTCGTGGCCCCAGTTCCGCCGAAGGCCCCAGTGTTGGGGATCGCATCGATGACCGTGCCTATTTCGGCACACCCCTCGCACGCTTCGCGGCCCGAGGCCAATTGTTTTAGCCATTCCGTCAAATCAGCCCATCTGGGCCACTCGCGCGCGCAATTCGAAAACGTTCAACCACCATCGCGCGCCCACGAATTCTGTCGGATGATACCATAGGGGCTACACGCGCATGATTCCGCGCGCACTTCCTTGTGTTCTGCCGTGGGTGCATTGTCATCATCGTCATCAGCGCAATCGCTATCATCGTCGTCAGCGTCATCAGCGCCATCGTCATCAACATCATGATCATCACCGTTATTATCACCATCGCCGGGATCATCACCGCGCTCGTCATTGTCGTCATCGTCGACGTCGCCCATGTCGCCGTCATCATGATATCGCGCCCACCCAGGTTACACCGACCCGCACTTGAAGCACACGCGCGCCAGCGCGGCCTTATAGATGCGCATGGAAGTTCCATGGGTAAGCGCCATCGTGGCCGCATTGTTTGTGCCAAACCACCTGGCTGATCTGCGCGAGAGTGGGCGCGCGCAAGTGCGGCCGCAGATAGGCGCCAGCATATTCCAGCTGCAACTGCAATCGTAACCGGATGCGTTTTGCCGAACCAGTTGCTGGTGAGAGGGTGGGATGTTTGCGCAAGCACTGGAGCAGACGACTGCAATTTCCACCAGTGTTTGCACTACGTATACTCTGCTGTCGGGACATCCCATCCTCTTCCATACCTGCGAAGGGCATTCTCACAAACCGGTTGCTCGTCCCTCGTTCAGTGTCTTGTGGCATACCACCACCCCCGAAGCCCTTGACTTGGCCATCAAGACGAAGCACCAGCCATTGCCAGTTGGCATGGGTTCATTGACGTGCCAGCACCCGGACATCTCCATCAATAATTGTCCATCATCACACGATCGCCGCACACATATCAACTATTTGCGTACGGGCTTCAAAGCACACGGAGCGAACATTCTGTTCTTTGCGCCCTACCAGGAGGAAGGAAAATAAGTTGAAGCGGGGGGTGGAAGGGGGTTAAGGGAAGATTGAGGGTGGAGTGGCGATGGGGGGGGGGGCAAATTATTGTTTCGTAATGTGGGCTGTCCTCGTAGTATGGTCGTCTTGAACACTTGGCAGCGAGCTGACTGCGAGCAGTATTTTGTCGCGCTGGTCACCACAGACTCTACATTTTGTTGTTGTTCTCGTTGCGCGGACCTGTCTTGACCCCCTCGGCGTCGAACCCCTCGGCAGCATCGCCTTGAGGGTTTGTGGTGTGCAAGAGGTCATGATCATTGTCGTGATCTTGCCGAGACGAGGGAGGTGAGGTTGGAGTATCGGCGAGGAGGAGTGGAGAGGGAGTGGGAAGTAGAAGGTAGAAGGGGCCCAGTTCCTCCCTCCTTCCTCCTCCCTCCACCCTTCACGCCTCCTTTTCGCAATAAGTGCTGTATGCATGTGTCGGGAGATACATGCCCTCACACGTGTTTTTTCTCTGTGCCCAACAAAAACTTTAGACGATGAGTTCCCCCAAGATTTCTTAAACGCACCTGTCTAGAACACATCACCTGACGACTATTCATTGTCACTAAAACTTACACGCACGCAGCCGCAGCATCTTGCTTGATGTTCGTTTGAATCGTTTGTGAAATCGTGGAGTCACGTGTGGACCCTGCTTACGCGTTGGCGCATTCTCGATTGTGGGGTTATCTCTGGGAGTTCAATCTCATTGGGCAGAGGGCGCACATGTTCCGCAAAGTCCTGGCAAGTATTGTATTTACAGGTGGCTCAAGCAGAACATCCGGCTCAAACGGGCCGGCCCCAAGCGCCCGCGCACAGGGCGCATTCAGGCTTTTTTGTTGTCTCATCCTTCCCCCCTTCCAGCATAGTGATGGTTGGGCGCTGCGCCCTGTGCCTTGCTGGCGGCGTGGACGTGCCAGCATTACCTGGAGGCGCCCACTGCGCCGCGCACACAGCGATCGCCACTGGTGCGGCTGCCCCCCCTGGCGCCGCGCAGGCTCTGGATGCTGCCCCAGCCCCGCAGGTGGCCACCCCCTGGCCAGCGATCGTGCCTGCCGCCTTGCCGCCTGGCTTACCAGCTGCTGGCTACGTCGACTCCGACCTGGACGTCGACAGCCTGGATACCCCGCCGCCGGAGATCGCGCCGGCTCTGGTGCTCGCCCTGTCGGGTCCGCTGTTCCGGGAGTGGCTCGAGCAGGAGACCCTCCGCCACTTCGATCTCGTCCAGGCCGCGGCACAAACCCGGACGGACGGCGACGGCATCGCGGTCGAATACCCGTCGGACTGGCGGTCGCTCAAGAATATCCTTCGCAAGCTCGGCTACGCGCCGTCCGCGTCGGACCCGTGGCAACAGCTGGGGTATGCAGCGCTGGAGGCCCCCGCGCCCACGGCCCAGGCCTTGGCCGCGCGGGAGCGCACGGCTGTACAACTGTGTGCTCTCAGTCGTCAGGCTGCCTGGCCTCCCGCCGACCAACAGGAGGCTGAGGCTGCTCTCAGCAACTTCAGAGGGCTGCCGCGGCCTACACGGAGGAGCTGCCAGAGGTGCTCAAGGAACGGCGCCGCCTCCGCGCCAGCACGCTCCCTCTCTGGAAGGAGCTCGGCTCGGAGGCATTCGCCCTACTTCAAGCTCAGACGGGACGGCAGGACACGTGTTTCCTCACCCAGTGGTCATCTCTGCTGGGTCCGGCACAGGCTGGCGCCTACGACCGAGACCACACGCGGGCGTTGGCGACGAAACTCGAAAAGGGGGACGAGGCCGCCTGGCAGACACTGGCTGGGCAGCACGTCGTCGCTTGGATCCCCGAGGATGGCAACGCGACCGCACGCTGCCGGGCGGCGCGGCTACGCCGCATCTCTGCTGGCGCCCACCCAGCCTCCCTTCGGCTGCTGGCGCAGCTCCCGCTTTTCAACGGGGCACACGACGTCCAGCACATTCTCGATAACTGGTGGTCACCGCTGCTCGGTGACAAGTGGGCCTCGCTGGTCCGAAGCGTCGGTTTCTCAGACGAGCCACTGGACATGGTCCTTCCTGGTCCTACCGCGCCACGGCACGTACGCATGGGGCTGGCGGTCTTCACGATTGACTTCGTTGGAGCGTGCGACCCGCCCAGGATGCTGCAGCACAGGGCACCTTTGCTGCAGATTACGGAGGTCAAGCCGATGTCTTTCGACATGAGGGCCGAGGACGTGATGAATTTCGCCTACCCCTGGCGTAGCCCTGCGCACACCACAGAGATGCCGAGGGTAGTGGTCGATGTCCTTTTCCTGCCACCCCTCGGGGAGTTTGACGCGACCCTGATCGTCCAAACCATCCGACCACGCCTCCCCTCGACTACACTCTTCGGTGCACAGGCCTTGCACACAGCCGCGGACACCCTCACTTTGGACATGGTCAGCGCGAAGGGGCTCCACCACTTCGGGCCGCTCTGCAGCCAGCTCCTGCTGCTGAGCTCCACGAAGGCCCTCCTCCTCACGGAGGCCAGCCACGACACGTGGGTGGCCGTGGTGGACCAGGTGCTGCAGGCGGACGCTTCGACGGCAGCAACAGGGCTGCGCTGGAAGCCGCCCCGAGGCGGCCGCAAGGTGGCCACGCCTTCTGCGACTCCACGGGCGCTGGCGGCCACTCGCAGGAAAGTTCACCGCGCCCCCGCCGTCCTCGAACACCTCACGGAGGTCGCAGTCCGCGGAGAGTTGGGGCGCGAGGGCGCGGAGGCCACGAGGCCGCTGCTCGCGCGCGCCGCTGCGGCCACAGGTCTCGCACTCCAGGAGCACGAGAGGGAACGTATTGAAGCACCCTACGAGTACGAGCATGTTCCTGCTGAGGTCCACGGTGGTGCAGGAGGACGTGTACGTGTTCTTCTTCCGGATGCTCAGGCCGTGGCCCGCCTTCATGCTGCCCTGCACGGGCAGTTCCTGCAGGCGGGGCCCACAAAGGTGAGCGCGCAGGTGACGAACGACCGGTTCGACCTGGACTCGGGGGCGGGAAATGGAGCGCGGAGGCGGGCTCATCAGTGCCTTCCCGATTCCGAGATCCGAGGCACGCGCCTGATGGCACGGTGCCGTCTGGAATTCACGACTGCATGGGCGAGGGCTGCATTTTCGCTGTCATCGTCATGCGGCTCCACTTGTCCGAGGACAGGCCGCGCCGAGGTGACCGTGGCCCTGATCGAGCGTTCTCCCCCTGACATTTGCAGCGTTCGGCAGCGACTTCAACACCTTTTCTTCTTCTTCTTCTTCTTCTTCTTCGTCTTCGAGCTCTGAGCCGTCATTTCCTCAGGCGGTTGACTTCGCGGAACGCCTTCGTCCGCAGATCAGGCCCTGCATCTTTCCAGAGGGCGCGGTCGTCCCGTGCCAGTACGACAGGCGCATCTTACAGGCGGATGTCCTGGTGGGTGTCTACCAGCAGCAGCGTTTCCGTCAAGCGCTCGGCGTGGACCCCCTCGTGGCGCTCCCGCGCGGCCGGTTCTCCAAGCCGCCGCCGACTTCGTCTTCTTCGGACCGTCGGTCTGGCCAATTCCGGGGTGACGTGGTGATCAGTGCTTGGAATGCCCAGCTCGCCATCCGCAGTTCGAACCGTGTACCGGCGCCAGGGCCGGGCGGCCTCCTTGTTCTGGCTTGGAAGCGGGTGGGAGGTTTGGCCACGGAGGTGCCCTACGCGACATTCGGGGACATTTGCGGGGAGGGCGGCGCTCGTCGGCTTCAGGAATTTGCCCCCGACTTCAACGCGAGCTTGCTGTTCTTTATCCCCAAGGGCTCGCCAGAACGGACGGAGGATGGGGGGCCGTTCCACTGGGTCGCGCAAGTCAGGCCATTAAACGCGACGAACGCGGACAACGGGCTCCTTGCGAACGCCGCGCGGCTGGTCATCGAAGGCGCGGTCGCCGCCCGCATTTCCCCTACCTAAAGGGGATTCTTGCCCGGCCGCTCCATGCTCGCAAATATTGTTGACATTGATGAGGAGGTGGCGAAGCAGTGCATCCACGGATCCAGGGCATTCGCTATTCACTTCGACTTCGAGGCCGCCTTCCCGTCCGCCTTCCCGTCCTTGGAGCACAATTTCGCGTTGCGGCTTCTGCGGCATTTCGGCTGGCCATCCTGGCTGGTCCGTTTCCGCTTCGGCGCTGTATCAGGATAACTTATGCGACATCGCGGCGAATGGGTCGAGGTGCCAGGGGCTCGTGCTCACCCGTGGCGCCCGGCAAGGCTGCCCGCTTTCGCCGCTATTATTCGCGGTCGCCTTGGATCTTGTCGCGCCGCGTGCAGCGCTGTGTCCCGGGCGCAGTGGTCAGGGCGTGCGCTGATGACCTGGCGCTCGTCGTGTCCAGGGCGGTCCTGAAACTGCCGCTTCTCCGCGGGCTTTTCGAAGAGTGCGGCGAGATTTCAGGTATTCGCCTCGACTTGAAGAAAGCAGTCCTCGCGCCTCTCTTCATGTGCTCGGCGACGGGGCTCCGGGCGGAGATAGCTGCGCAGGCGCCTGCTTGGGCAGCCATGGCGATTCAGGATCAGGCGAAGTACCTCGGCTTTGTTCTGGGCCGCGGCGCCGACGAGGCGCCCCGCGCGGCCCCTCTGGCGAAAATGGTTGAGCGAGCGAGGACATGGGGAGGGATTGGGATTATTGCGAAGGCCCTACGGCCGGTGCCGCCGACCCTGAATGGCGGCGACGACGACGACGACGACGAGCGCTCTTTGGGGCCTCTTGGGGGTAGTTTGTGGGCCTCTTGGGAAGCTCTTAGGGGCTGCTTGGAAGCCTCGTGGGGGCCTCTTGGGGCTTCCTGGGGGTCTCTTGGAGGGGGCCTGGGACGTCTTGGAGGCTTCTTGGACGGTCTTGGGGCTACCTTGGGCGTTTTCGGCCGATCTTTGGGCGACTCGGGGCCTTCTTGGGCCGTCTCGGGGGCCATCTTGGGCAGTCGGACCTCATTTGGAGTGTTTTCGAGGTTTCTAGGCCGCCCGAGGAAAAACTAATTTGCCCCCCCCACCCCCCACCCCACCCCACCCCCCCTGGGGCACCCCCCGAGGCCCTCCCCCGGGACCCCCCCCCCTGGGGAAGGGGTCAAAGGGAAGGGGCTTCCCTTCGAATCTACAGCGGCATGGGCAACGATGACGACCCGAACAACGAAAACACGACGATGTCAATCCGAACAACGACGACGATTCGAACGAGGAAGCCCTTCGCACGCGCCGACAGGG